GGATCAGGGTGTGTTTCGGGTGTTTCGTTTTAGATCTATCAAGAACTAGCACCTTATCATTTCCTGGCTCAACGATTTGCTCAAGAAGGAACACTCAAGGGATTTTCCTATCGTTCCAGTCCATCTGAATCTGAATCTGAATACCTTAAAATTATGCCGTTTGTGCGTCCCACTGGTGTAATCCCCAGGATCCGCTACTTCAGGCCCGTACGGGCTATTGATGAATCTATTGTTAACAAGGAAATATTAGCTGGGCTTGACCTTAAGCCGCTGAAATCAGTTACCTTGTCATTCAATCCTTTTGTTGGTGACGTTTCTTCAATACGGTAAGAATGGAATTGCCTATATTAGTGCTCTTTCCAGCAAACTTTGTGGCCTATTAAGTATTCCCCGATGGAGAATCAGCAACCCGTATCTGATAATTAAGACAAACGTATTGTCCACTTTCTGCCCACCAACGGTAGAATTGCACTACGGTAATCTGCTTTATACCTGATGTCGTCTTGACTTAGGCAACGAAAATGTGGTTGTGATCAAAACCGAGCATTTGTCCCTGCGGGAACTAATAGAAATTCTCATGACTCAGTCCTTTTTGAATTCATCTGATCAATAAATCAGTGTCATTTTCCTTGTTCTTGACTTTTTATGTGTCTGGTTTGAGTCACTCGGTTTTTTTACAGCCTCCCTCCGAAGCACCTATCTATGCAAAGCTCTGATTTAGAAGAAGACTCGGATGGTTGGGATGAGGTTCACACAGAAATGGTGCCGGACTCTCATAGTCGCATGACTTGCCTTCTCTGCCCACACGTTTCACCTGATTCATATTTGTTTTTTGACCACCTGCTTCGACACGAAAAGTGGGGAGATCTGCTGTCTGCCCAAAAGCGCTTCATCAGCAACCAGTATGATTGGATTCGGTTCGTGAACTTGGTTCGACGTAACGTGAGTTCGGTGATACTCTTGACATCCGCATCCAGTCCGGATGTCATCTTCCCCATTCGTCACGTCTTCCTGAGTCATTTACTTACCTAATGAGCGCCTTACTTTTCACTTGAGCTTGCTTTGGTCCGCTTACTCGCTGCTCCTAGGCTATCGTTTATTCTGTTTATTCAACTTGCTCCCTACGGCATTTTATCGTTTCCTTGAGCTTCGCCCACTGCGGTCGTGCGTTAATTTTGCATAGCAATGTCACCCACTGAAATCAGTTTTGCTCCTGGTATCCTCCGTTTAACTGTTTTACCCAGTTGATCCCTGATTAACTAGCACTAATTCCTCTATATGTGTTTTACTGTTACATTGTGGCTACACTTCCTACTCTAGACTAAAACAAATTAACAGTTCATGGTACCCGCATTCTATAAGCTAAGCAAGTTGGATGCACGCCGTTTGCCATTAGCTTGATTACCGTAATCCTGCCTGACTTTGATGCCGACTTACCTCACCCCATACACTCTGCACTTACATGCATGCTTTTATAAAACTGTCACCAGCCAGACACCAGTACATTGTGCCGATGCTACGTTACCGCGCAGCCATTATGACTTTAATTTTTAGTTCGCGTAATGGGAAGAGTTGAAAGGCTCCGTATTAATCCTAATCACCCTTGTGTTCAGGAACAAGACGCACCTTTTTGTGATGATTCGTCGCAGCTGGACTCAGGCTGACAGCCACCACGCTACCAGGAAAGCGCTAGACAGCTGTTTTGTTCTATTGGGACACGCAACTATTAACAACAGAATTTCACAGACAGGTGTCTATCGTACGAAGACAAGGCAGTATCAGCGGGACAGCTTCCTTGTAGCTCTCCTCACTTAGCGTCATAGTCAGCCTTATCACACAGCTAACACCTTGAGCAAACAGTCCTTCTAATAAACGAAACGAACCCATCACTCCTATCCTACCCGATCCATTTAAATGAGTCACAGACTACAGTCTAAAAAATGTGACGAACCAGAAGCACACGAGCCAATTCTCGATGACCTTATCCTCCATTAACAAATCAATTTTTGCCCCCAGTCCTTTCATCATGCTGTATGTACCAAGCTGAGATAGGAAAACAGAAATAACCTATGGTTTACGTCATCGCTCTTCTCAAACAAAGACGGGGAAAGCATATTGCCGACCAGTGTCTTATGCTCTGCTCTGAATCACGTCATGGTTACTGACTCATTCGTCCAAATCTGTAGAATCCACGACCCCTCTTGCCAATTCGATTTCTTTGTACAGTACGTGTCGACGACGCAGCCTATGCTTATTGATCGTGATGATTGGCTCGTTAATTTCTGTGATGCGTGATAGACACGGCTACCTACATGATTACTTCCCCGTTTTTTTCGCCAGGGACGAAAAACACAGGATTCTGTCGCTTTGCTATCGCTTTGCTATCAACCCTGAATAGCCTATCGAGAGTGGTCCCATTATCTGGTATGTACTTCGCACCTTTAAAGTGCAACATTTTCCTGCAGGACCACTAGGCACTTCATGACCCTTGCTAACGAGGAACACGAGGTTTATCCATTCACTTACATTGGGCGCTGCATCAGCAACGATGGGCGTATAGAAAGTGAAGTCAGTTCACGCATTGCAAAATCCAAAACTGCCTTCTTGAACCTGAGGCATCTTTGAAGACAGAAGGGAGTTTCCCTCCGTCTGGAGGGCCCAGTATACAACGCCACAGTGAGGGCCGTCCTGCTCTATGGTAGTGAAACTTGCCCCGTTGGCCTTCAAGTCTTTGATCATCATTGTCTGCGAAGCATTTGTGGTATCGGATGGCACCAACGTGTCCGCAACGATGATGTGCGTAGGCGAGTACTAGGTAGTGATAATCGTGCTAGCTCCCTAGAACAACATAGCACTGATTAAGTTGCTTTGGCTCGGGCACGTGCTATGTATGCCTGGTCACCGCTTACTTAGGAGGGCCTTGTTCAGTTTACCGGGTGTAGGGTGGCGCATAGCTCGAGGTGGACAGAAGTTGACTTAGCATCGGGATATAAAATCACTGACGACCAAACTGGGTGCCGTTGGTCCGTCTCGCCTTCCGGGATGGAGTCCACATGACTCGCCTTGCGCTTGGCTCGAGACTTTGCAGGACATGGCTCGCAACCGACACCAGTGGCGCGTATGCTGCCGCCTCTTAATCGGATTGTCTGTTTAAAGTGTGTTTGGTGCTGAGTTATCTGCGGGGTAATGGCTGATTATGACGCAGGGCAGTAAAAGCTGCCAGGAAGCTGTCTCGTCGATGCCGCCTTATCTTGCGCGATAGCCAGCTGTTTGTGACGGTATGTTGTCTACACAAGGTGTAGGCGCCTTGACCTTGAATGTTTGCTTAGGTCATTAAAGTTTTCAGGTAAGTCGCACTTCGCTCCCTCTTATTATTCTGCATTCCATAGCTCATCATAGTTGTATGACAGCGAAGCATCAGTTCAAATGGCTTATGTTCTGTGGTTGTTGATGAGGATGCAGCAAAATACACTGCCGACTCATCTTCCCTTCAAAGACGTGTTCGAGGCGATAATTGAAGACTGCCAATCAAAGCTTTACTGTGATAAAATTACCAATGAGCTGGGGCACACGAAAGAAAGAGGTGAGCGGGAATTTGACACGTAGCGAACAACTCGTGAATGAGAGTAGAATGTCAAGATGTGAGTTGCAGATTTTGACACGGCAAGACTACTCAGTTGCGGTATGGGACGTTGGATTAACGAACGTCGAAATGGAATTTCGAAAGAATTGTGTTTGCGAATTTCGTGTGTCGCCGTCATGAGCCGAGCATTTTCCTACGGAAGTTAATATAATATTCAGGAGGCGATTACACAAGGATGAAGAACAAAGAAACTAAGGTGTGACCATTGAATGTGATGGAAGTGAAACCGTTTCGCTGGTGTTGGCCGTCAAAACAACGCAAGAGTATGGCGCATTCTGGAGAAGTGTCAAGCATAACTCCTGGTCCATAGCGGGAAGTCTCTCTGCGTAATAAGGGAAAAAGAAGCCAGCGACATTCAGGATGGAGACTATCAATTCATTATATCATTATACACGCTAGCTGCAGGTGTAAAACACCTCAGCTATTGCGCCGCAATACAAAAGACAAGAAAAGGAAAACCAACAGTAGCACGTCTGCTGAGTCACCAGTAACGGATGGACATCGTTCCGGAGAGCTAACAGCCGACTGTCGTGCCTTCAAAAGTGTGTTATATTATGCCTAATGAGTGATGTCTTGATTGGAGGGGGATGCTAAGCAGGAGGGGGGTGGACAAAGAAACTCACAACACAAACGCCATGGGGACCGGCTCCAAGCCATATCAGCAAGTGTGTCCAAACTAACGTGTTCACCGTCCTTAGGACCCCAGCCAGGCAGTCGAGATGCACCAACCCACGCCAACTTCGAAGTGAGGGTTTTCATTTCTATCGACCAAGTCATCGCTTGGCCTCCCCTCCTCCTCTTCCAACCGCACCCACAACGCGAAAACAATGCACGTCGCGGAAGTCGGTGTGTTGGCATGCGCAATACGTGGGCCAAACCATCGGAGCCTGGTGCGTGATATAATGGTGCTGAGCGGTTCACTCGCTCTTCGTGCACCAAATACGCGACGTCGAACACGCTCATTGCTCACGCGGTGCTCCCACCGGACATGAGCTAAGCTGCGAAGGCAGCGATGATCGAATGTGACGAGTCTCTTCATGTCTGTCGACCTGATGGGCCAGGTTTCACAGCGATATAGGAGAGTTGAACGGACGGCTGCGTTATAAACTCTGCCCTTCAGGGCGAGAGTAATGTCGCGTCTGCGCCACAGGTAGCGGAGATTGGCAAAAGCATCTCGAGCTTTTGCTATACGGTTTGTAACCTCATCTTCGATCCCACGGGTGCTACTATAGCTGCCCAGGTACTTGAATTCCTGAACGACTTCTAGCAGATCACCACAAAACGTTATCGCAGGTTTGGGTCCCTGCCAATCTTGGAGAAGTGCTTTGCATTTCGATGGAGCAAAGCATAGTCCAAAACGCTTGACAGCCAGTGCTAATTGGTCCAGTGCTTATCCGCCCGGCTGTATGCAACAGACTAGGTGACCTTTGAAACTGCGCGACTGTCGATGCAGGATGAAGATAGGGGTTAAAGATAAAACTATGGTTGTGTGTCGGCTGAGATACTGCCAGGAGAACGATTAGAGTCCACAACCAAAGCCTTTGGCTCGAAAGCTTGTGCGCTAGGCAGCGGGGAAGTGGCATTGATTTAGTTTTACAGAAATGGACGCCATCCCATTTCAAACCCTCAACCTGGAGGACCAGGAGACTGAGTTTGTCTGACCTCTAACCATTGACCAACCTGGTTGGAGTAGCTCTCAAGGGGCCCGGAAGCACCACCGAGTGTAGCTCAATGAGTCAAGGATTTACGCAACCGTCGCACTACGTTAAGGTCCCGTCTCGTTGCAAAAGTAGATGATAGATGTGACCTTCGGCCGGTGGTCAGGATGGCTAAACAGTCGTATTGAGCAACCCAGCGCATCGGAAATGCTTTCGCTACTGTTTCCGAAGAGCATTTAGGTATGGGAATAGCTTCCGACCACCTGGTGAATCGATCGACACCGGTCACTTGATATACAGAACATTTCGATGGCGGCAGAGGACCTACGAGGTCGACGTGCACGTGTAGAGAACGTGCATGTGGTGTGGGAAATATTCTTACTGGGCTTTTCGTGTGCTTAT